CATCTGATACTGCCATCCAACATGATACCACATCTTTGACTAGGGTTGCCAAAAAGCGAAGCATATTTGAGGAGAAGTCGATTATCTGGATCAATAACCCGTCGACCACGGTACTGAAGGCATGCGCTTCTCAACAACCTCCCAAGGTTCACGAAGAGTGCGGTTCATGGACCCAACGTTAATACACATGTAGTGGGGTGCATCAAATATCGGGATTGACTTTCAAAGGAGGACTAAAGCGCCAGGCGACTCTCAGATGCATCGGCCCTCGCAACATGCCATGTCTGCTCACAAAGACGGCCCTCGTAGATCATTCTCTCGAAGAGCCCTGTATGACTTCAAAGACGTTTACGAACAGATACTAGAGAGAGGAGAAGTTTTTGGAGACATACGCGCTTCTGCTAAACAGAAAAGCCAGGCTTTCCTTTCCGTAAAGGATGAGGGAAGCGGGCACAGATTCTCACAATGTTTGGTCAATGTGGGATGCGCAGCGCACGCGCCACAGCATACCTGACTCGAAAGAGAGCATGAATACTTTCTCATTGTGGTAGAGGGCTCGTATAGACTCAGGCCCCCCAATGACGCTAAGAATGCTTCTGGAAGGAGATGACCCTGCTCTGGTGGGTTTCGATGTCCTGCCGACCATTGGCTAAGATTTTCAACAATACTGTCTTCCCTCATTTGGGTGGGTGACATTGTAGCTAGTAAAGCAACAATGACCAGGACGTTGAAATCCGGTATCTTCGACGGCGTAATCAGCAGTGGCTGGAATTTTGTGTTCATCGAGTTGTCGAGCCGCATGCGCAGTCGATATTAACGCTTTCAGCTCCACAGCGTGGACCTCACCCCACTGGACGGGCTTCAGTGCGGCGTCGCGATCCTCTTCGGGTCTATGGCATGCTGCACTGATGATGGCACTACAGCTACCTCCTTGCGGCAACACTCCCTTGCATATTCGTAGGCATATACCGGCGAACACGAGAAGCAGAAGTCCTCCGATAGCCACAGCTAACAACTGTTAGTTGCCTCTCTGAAATCTAGTCAAGTGTTGTGATTTACTCAGCATCAGCGGTTTTGGGCTAGTTCCCAGGAAGAGCAGCTCACTGGCAAGTCCTCCCGAGTTGTTCACTGCGATGACCGTCAAGAACATAGACTGCGAGAGTGTCCAGTGAAGTATCGTGAACGTGGCCGTAAGAGGCAGTGCGTAGCGCCAAGGTAGCGAAAGAAAGTACGTAGAGCGTTGCTTCCCGAGAGGTGAGCTGACACGAAGGCTCTTCCGCTTCGTGCCATAACCTTGCCATTCTGACTCCACGTAAAAGCATGTGAGAAGGGCGTTGGTACATATGTATTGCAGCGAGATCAGTAGCTGCCACGTATTGGCAAAGAGGACGATGGCTAGGAAACCGCGCATCATAGAGGCTGTTCAATGGTCAGCATCCCTCTGCACATTTTCTCTTGAGATCTTGCATACTGCGGCTCTCTTGTACGATCGATAGTCCAAGCTGCAGAAAGGCGTTTTGGTCCGCAGCTCCAAATTCCATCTCTAGAATGTATCTCCCGGAACCTGCCCTATCTTTGATGATTTCGAAGCCTTGGTTCATGAACAGAGAACCGCCCAAAATAAGCACAAGGCCTCTCTTCTCCTGTAAGCTACTACAAGCTCAATGAAGCTGAAAAACTTACAATCCAAATGTCAAACTGAGTCGCATTTTCGATACTAGGCGAAACCATCTCGAATAAACAGGGGACCATCTGCTTGTTCGTTCATCAGACCAAGAGTATCCCTCCTGTGATAAGTCGGTCTTTGCGGTTAAGCCCAAGTTCCTGGTTTCGATCGTGAGGAAAGACGCGATAGCGTCGCCAGTTGTTGATAACGGTTTGGTAGTAGGGCCCTCGTCGGACAGATTTGTGATACTGTATAGCATACACGCCAGCTTGAGGAAGTTTACGCAGCAGACCACTACATGAATCAGCATGTGTTCGAGATGAGTTGTTTTGCACAACGCACCTATCATGATTTCGAGCGAGTAGCTTACTGAGCACTTATTCTCTAAAGGTATATCACTGACAAGGCACTGGTCAATTTTCCATCCGAGTATGTTCCAGTCATCGGCAATCGATGGGCTCTGGATCCATGAGGTTGGTTGACGACCTACGATTCAGTAAGTCTGTGTTTCAGCTAAGACCTCGAGAGGTTCATCAGTTGTACCCACAATCGAATTTGTTGGTGTTTCCGCATAGCCAGTCGTAGCCTAACCAGAATCTTACTTGCTTGAGGCTATTCAGTCGCTTAGAAAACAGGAGAGAGTTCGTGAGAGCGCCGGGAAGCCCTGCTGCATCCGGGGCGATGAGCCACTCCGAGCCATTTCTTGCAAGATGGTTGATATATGTTGACGAGTTCCAGAGGTAGTCGTAGCTTGACACGAATATGACGTCTGACCGATTGCTATAGATGTCAGAGTACACTGTCAGGCAGTCGATAGGTTTTATAGTGCGCTGGTACTGCTGTTTCATGACGTACTCCTGGACCGACGTACAGTTGTTGGTTGTACAGACCGCATTGAAGTTGAAAAGGCCATCTCCATCTATTTTTTGCCATCGAAGTTTTCCATGACGATCGTCATATGATAGCTCTTGTCCATTCATGTACTGCTCCCTTCGCCATCCGTACATCACCGCTGCTCGATTGGTATCGGCACGAGCGTCGGTCAGAAAGTAGGGGGTTAGGACATGTATTGCAACATCATCTAGCGGCTTCGACATGTAGATAGTGGAATTGTATCTAGAAAATATTAGCACAGAGGCCGCGATCGTGAGTGCTTCGAAAACTTACAAAAGGTGTAAAGGAAGGGATGAGAAAGCCAGAACTGTCCACAATACTCGGTTGCGACAGCTGATGAATCGCAGATTTCCCCAGTTGTATATTCCAATGGCGACCCATAGCTGCTGCTTATGGACTTTATCCACTTCTGCCCTTGTGGGCGACAGCAGGTGCTGCATGAACAAGTTCGAAGACGACAGAATCAGCGTCGAAAGCACGTTGATCAGGAAGTGTACATAAGTGTTCAGCTTCAGCGCCGTAGTACAGCTTCCCAAGAACAAACGTGGATGCAAAGGCTGTTTTGATCCTGTTTCCTGGACCGAGCTTAGGTGGACATATACTGTGGCGGAAAGGTTGAGCAGCAGTGTCAAAGCAACTACCACGCAGCCACAGAATAGTGTGGTCTTGCGCCTTGTACGCCAAAACTGGAAGGCTTCTCGAACGGAGGTCTCCTTGGGCGCAACGGCTGGCGCTGGTCAGTAATTTCTTGTAAAGGAAAGGCAGAAGGTGAATCAGATGTTAAGAGATGGCGAGGAAGCGACGAACGTGGCACTCGAGGAAGCAGTATCAGAATGATTGAGAACGCTGCATCGATCATCATCTGCGGCCTTGTGTGCAAGGAATAACCCAACTTGGCTCTCGAGCGCCACCGTTTCTCGCACATCGTGGTCCAAAGCGTGGTACTCGTACATAATCTAGTCGCGAAGAAATAGCCAAGACATGTCTACAGCCTTGATGTGCTGGATGCGAGACTTGTATAAGACAGCGGGGTCAACACAAGGCTGAAGGACCGTCGGCCCCCAAAAGCCTCTTGCTGCGGCGCGATGTATCGCACATGCAAGCGCCGGAATTAGTATAGTTCAACCTACTCTCTCCATACAGGAGAAGGTGGCGCACAGCCTGTGCTGATGGCTCTCAAAAACGCGATAAACAGGTGAGCTCTTTGCCTCATTGGTCTCTCACATGCAGCATAGCCATAGTGGCAAGTTGACAAGAGATTTGCTCTTGTAGCATCTGAAGCTTGATAATTAGTTCCAATGTCCGCATGCGTGGGCGTTCTCAAGTCAGCCTGATCAAGCCATAGCCTCAGGACTCGAAGACGTAGCCGCATCCTCAATCGCCAACCGATCCTGAATCCCCTTCCACCCCTTCAGCACCACATCTGCCTGGACGCTGTTCCTTCCCAACTTCCTGACCGCCTCCTCAACGCTCACAAGGTGACTTTCATACGTCTGCTCTTCCTCATCTACACCCGTGCCTTCATGATGCAGCGGCTCGTATCCCTCTGGCTCCATCTTAATCCTCTCCCGTAATGTCAGGTCTCGCGGAAACGGAGGTGGAGGTTTGTACACCGCGCCGACCTCTGTCTCGAGTTCGGTTTCGATGGACGGTGGAAGTGTCTCGGCGATGTACCAGTATATCACGTATTGGCGCGTGCCGAGGGGCATGAATTGCATCCAGACAGGTTCGGCGGTCATGGGTGCTGCATGGATGCGCGGGTGGGCCTGGGGTTGGCGGTGCAGTATGGGCAGAGGGAGAAGGCGGTTATGGTAGCCACTCTGGAAAACATCAGCACTACTCCAGTCATTTTGGGGATGGAGAGCAAGTATACTTCCTCATATCCTTCTCGTTCTGCTCCTCGTCCACTCTCTTCCCCGGCATCCCGGCGGCCCTTTGGTAGGAAGTAGTATCTCGTGCCACGTCGATCTTCAGCACTACATATCACAACGCGGCTACTTGCGAGGTGGAAGATCGCAACGCCGCCTCCATTCACGAACCAGTTTCCAGAAAATTGCGCAATGACTGGCTTGAATTCTGGTGGTCCGCTGTTGGTTGAAGACATAATAGGATTGTATGTAGGAGGTCTCTACGAATTGACCGGAGCGGAGAAGAGATCAAGAGTGTTGAGCCCTCAAGGTAAGAAAGTAGAGAACAAGTCAAACGCGACGGTCAAGCGCTCGTGATGCGTTGTCGCAGCCATTTTACAAGCACGAGGCTGTACAAACTAGTCGTTGTTGCCTGTGATAGTCGTTGGTCGGAGTAGTGGGGAGGGGCGCTGAGTGGATCGTTGTTCGGTCACTGCTCGCTTAGTCGCACATGGTAGGGTAATCTGAGCACACTGACACAACGCTGCGTTATAACACTCTAAATTTTCGTTCTTTCCATAATCCAGTATACTGGCCTAATGGCCCAATGGCAAGGCGCTTGACTACGATTTTCCCGAAATCAAGAGATTCCAGGTTCGACCCCTGGTTAGGTCATTGTTATTTCGCACCTTTTTGTGCCTTTTGCTTTCGCCTAGCATCTATGATCGTTACCAAGTAGGTGACATTTCGCGGTCGAGATGCTTTTTGCTCACCACCAGTCAATGTAGTCGTTGCAATATCAAAAATACAATTATAAAGCAACACTTTCCAGTTAAGATATTATGGGGTTGGTTGATCTTCTGCATGGAAGATAAGCAGACTTCAGAATTAGCTGCCATGTCACGCCAAAAGGTCTTTAGCCTGCTACAAGGCCCATATGTTGAGCAAGTTCCAACGTTGAACCTGCCAAAGCTTCTCCCAAGCAGACAAAAAATATGGGGTCGAATACGGAGCATCATGTTCACAGTCACTTCTCAAGTTGCAGCCCTAGCTCTTTCTCTGTCACCTTAGTCAACGAAGTGGTTGGCAGCGCACGTTGTCTTCGCCCATCTTCCTCGTCATCCGCTTTCCTTCGCTCTTCCTTACCATCGGCCAGCCAAAGGTAATCAAGTCTGTCTTCCCAAGGAACCAATCAATCCGCTCAACCACTCTCTCATCGTCTGTTCTCGCAATGGTGAGTTTCTCTAGCGCACACGTCTCCACAAAGTCCGACCTGTCTTCCAATAAACCATCCGTGCGGCGCGTATAGATGTCGTAGTCATGGTTGTACTCGACGATCAAGACGCGTGTCGGGAATTCGATTGCCGAGATAGACGAGAGCAATGGCAGCACCACTGCGCGGTTGATGCTGCGACAGTCAAAGTCAATCATTAGGGTGTGCAGAGTGGTGAAGCCAAGATCATTGCGCGCAATGGATGGTAGCCACTCGATGGTGATGATGCTTATGTGCGTGATATCAAAATGCAAGTGTCGGACAAGTCAGCGCGTATGGACAGGTGGGTGGAGCGGTGGAACGGGCTGCCATCCAATGACTAGGCTGCGAGCTTCCATTTTCTAATGCGCGTATTTTCCCATTCCAGGTACCCATGAACTAAAGATTAAGAAGCTGTGGAAGAGCTTGAAAGTAGCTTGAGGTGGTGTGCGCGGCACAGTCGTCCAAGATTGTTGAGCTGGCTGCATCAACATAGTGTTATGGCCGTAAAGACACCTCGCACGAGACCGGAGGTTACTGGGCAGCATAGAAGGGGCAATACGATTGATATGTATAGCTACGCCGTCTTTTCCAGAGGGTGACGATATTTTATGAAGTCGTGATACTGGAAGACCTAGTTGGGGGGCATAACGAAGCCGAGGATGTGAAGCTTGAGTGTGTCGGGGAGCTTAAGCCAGCCGGCCTGAAATGCCGCAGCTTGTACTGTAGCTTCAGCTGGCGTGCTCGGTTGCTCTGCCAATTGCGCGGACAGTTCTTGTGCATTTCCCCTTGGAGAGCACGAAAGTCAACATTTTGTCCATAATGAGGGCCCGGCTGCGTCCAAGGTATCCTGATTGTGGTAGTATTTACGGGCGGAAAGACGTGAGGCTGGACCGGATGCCGCGAGGCAAGACTGTCGAAGGGCGGACGCAGAAAGGGCCGCGCAACCATTGTCGCACACTGTCGAGGAGGCGAACTCAGAATGAGAAATGTCTGTGGGGTTTGGGACTGCGAGAGTTTTCGTTAAGTGGTGGTCGAGAGCCTAAAGGTGAGGTGGCAGTGGAGATATAAGGTGGCGATTGTGGAGAGACTAAAACCCTTGACTCTCAAACAACACTGGCTCTTACTTAAGGCGCACACGTGGCCCAGAGTGGTGGCCAATATCGCGTGAAAGAACGCTTGAGAATGTAAACAGGGTGGGGTATATCGCGGCGCAGCCCTGGGCTCGAAAACTCTGTGTATATGATCTCGGTGCCTCAATCATTCGCGCCACTCCTTTGCGCATTTGGTGCACTATCTCTTGTTAGTTATAGCTTTGTTTGGCAGCGCACTGAGACTGACCTTGTAGAATGCAGTCATAGGCTCATCAGCACTACGAATCTGCAGCTGATACCAATAGGCCTCGTCGTTTCTACACTTCTCGTTCGGACATTGCACTGTCGGCTTGTCAGTCTCCAGTCCACGTTAATCTCCCATCCGCCTAAGAATATCAAGCGTACCTTGTGTCTTGTCCACGTTGTCCCACGCGCCCTTGCCTCCAAGAATGTCTTCAACTTCCTTCTTCTTCATATACTTGCGCTCAAAGTAGCGCTTGTTGATGACGAAATGATACGGGCAAGTGAGGCATTCGAAGCGATTCTGGCCTACGTATTGCTCTGTCGTAGGGTCACCAGGTGGTACTTTGGAGACGCGCAGCATATTGCTGCATGTTGGGCAGACTGCGCGACCATTAGCTATTGTTCCAGAATTTCATGAGGGACGAAAAGGTAGTATGAGACCTACAGAGCAACATGTCGTACAGCTCTCAACTTCGTGACGCGACTTATGTCGACTGGACTTGAACATCTCGAAAGTTATTGCGGGACCCTACAGCGCTAGCGACGAGACGGGAAAAGTGCGGGGCGATTCACCGACAACTCCGTGCAGCGATGAGCCTCTAGGGACGCGCACCGTAAACATTGTTTCACGTTGCAGCTGACCTCGTGAGCGACTTGACTTTGCTTCCCTCCGACAGAGACCACTACAAAGTTTGCTCTGTCGTCACACCATACCACACGTTCATCTCTGCCCCGCCCGGTCAATTGCACCTCTGAGAACCCCGCCAGACAGCAGCTTCAAGTACTTACTTGGGCGAGACAGACTGTTCGCGAAATCCTTCCAGGCTGCAGACAGTCTCACGGCACTCACAATGGCCGACGAGCAGGTATGTAGACTTAGCATAGTATGAGATAGCACTTTTAACACTTCTTTAGGGCGCCTCTCCCAAGGAGCTCGTGTTCGAAGCATGCCGCCGCAACAACACTACCCTCCTCGAAGAAACTATCGCAGACATCGGCGCATCGGCCTCCAAATCAGGCGGCAAGCCGGATGAGCTGGTAGCACAAATACTGAACAGCGCAAAGGACGGCGTAGGGAACGGTGTGCTACATGTTGCCGCGACATACGGAAGCTGTATGTACAATACACCCTGTCTGGCGAGCGTGGAGGAAATATCAGGCTAATCCATGAAATAGACGAAGTCCTCGACATCCTCCTCGACCAAGAAGGCATAGAAATCGAAGAGATCGACCGCCTAGAACACGACACGCCCCTTCATAAAGCCGTGCGGTACGTCAACTCGCTCGACAAAGCTGAGTGGAGCCACGGGCATCCCATTGTAGAGATTCTGCTCGACGCCGGCTGCGATCCTAGGATACGAAACAAGGCCAAGCTGAAGCCTATCGAGCTTGCAGATCCACGAAATACAGAGCTGAGGAGTATACTGCAGAAGGGAGAGTTTAGCATGCAAGCTGGAGGAGATGTGGTTGAGGAGGATGACGACGGTCCGACTGGGAGTGCGAGCGATAGCGATTGAGTGGACTGAAGAACTGGCTTTGCATTTGAAGCTAAGCGTGGAGAGCTTGACTCGGTTGTAGCGAAGCTCAGTACCATACTTCGTGGTGCAGGCAAATATATCTTTGGCACCATATCCTCTGCTTAGCCGGTTTTCTGACCTTCTCTCATCTGCAGTAGTCCGACATTGAGCATCTGGTCGCGGCGTACCGTGCATCTGTCTCGAAGGTAGACGGGAGACAGGCTGTCGTGTTGTTTAAGTAAACATGCCATGTCTGCCCAAAAGACTCATGGTCTCTCATATGTTTCCCATCTCGTTGTAATCCTTGATCTTGTACAATTGCACCATCTTAACGGCGCCATCAATCCTGTTGCTACACCAAATCAGCCCCAAACCTTCCACTTCAATCCCACCTCAATCTTTACTCACCTCAGGCGGCGGTCCCACAGGCCGCACCATGCGCTCCAGCAACTGCACCCTCGTCTTCTCGCGCGACTGACCCAGTCCAATGCTCATGTACTGCAAAAGCGGTGGGTGACCAATATAGCTTGCCAGAGAGTCCCGCGCCATGTTCGATGTCCATTCGTGCTTTGTCGTGTCGGCGCTGCCGATGCCGATGTAGCGGGCTTGGAGCGCTTCGAGTTGTTGTTGGGCGCGGAGCTTGTCGGCCATGGTTGTGATATGGAGGAGGTGTGGAAGAGTTGTGGGTGCGTGTGTCGCGAGCGAACGGTGTGAAGCGCAAAGTTGGGGAAGTCACGATGCGGTGATCTCGGAGGTCCGAGGGAGGCTAGCCAGGTTGGGCCGGGTGTCATTGCATCGCATCTCGGCATGGTCGACTTTGAAGTCAACACTTGCACTGAAGCAAATCCAAGCAAAGACACTTTTTTTTTAACACGTCTCGCATATTCTTTGCACTCAAAACTTACACAGTATGGCTCAGATAGACACTCCGATGTCAATTGCGCCGCTCACACCGGGTGAGGACGCAAGCCCCGCCGACGATGTGATGCCTCAGTCTCAACCAGTAGTCGACTTCTCGCCCGCCACAGTACCCTACAATGAAGCATTCGAAAACGAGCTCATGAATGCTATCTTACACTCGCCGACGAACCCCTCCGCGCCAACATCAAACCACGAAACGCCCGTCGTTCCCGCATCGCAACTACCAATCCCACTCTCCTCCAACCTCCGCACACATCATTCGCCCATACCAGGTCTCAACCTCACCCACGCGAACGGCTACCACACAGGCGGTCCCGGCCCATCACCCGAAACCCTCACCGCTTTCCGAGACAAGTTTATGCGCGACCACCAAATTGAGACACCGGAGCAATTCCAGGACGCGATTCAGGCCGCGATGGCAGAGAAAATGGCGGAAGCCAGGGAACGCATGGAGGAGCGTGAGAAGGCGGTGCTGAAGAACCGCGAGATTGATGAGGAGTTGGAGAAGTTGAGGTTGCAGAGGGAACAAGAGGTTAGGGTGTTGGAGAAGATGAAGGGGAAGCGATGAAGTCGAAAACAAATGCTGAAGAAGTCTTAGGACAAAATCATTCAATGGCCGATGCGAATCCGATAGGAAGCGGAAGCGAA